TTTTTTTTTTTTTTTTTATGTTTTTGGCGCATTTAAGGTGTTTGGTGAAATGCCTGTATGATTGTTAGTCCAAGTTGCAGCCAGTTAGAAAAATTGGTTTTTGTCCAGCTTAGTCTTCTTATTTCCAATTCGTACAATGTTTGATTTTCTCATGAGTCGAACGCATTTTATAGCTATTTACTCGGTTCTGTTGTCGACTGTTTTGCAGATTATTAATGGTGATGCATTGAGGACCGAGTTCCCAAAATTCAATCTTGTCGTGGCAAACATTCCTTACGGCATATCATCGCCTTTGTTGGCTAAATTGGTTTATGGTGCAACCGAAAATCCGTTTAGAAGCGCAACATTATTGCTTCAGAAAGAGTTCGCGAGGAGGCTTTTGGCAAAACCAGGAGATTCCGAGTTCAATAGACTGGCCGTGAATGTGAATCTGGTTGCAACTGTTGAATTTGTAATGGATGTAAGCAAGAGGGACTTTGTACCGTGCCCGAGAGTTGATTCCTCGGTGGTGAAAATTTACCCGAAAAGTGAAATCCTGAATGTCGACCTAGACGAGTGGTGGGCTTTTACTAGGACTTGTTTTTGCAAGAAAAACAAGACTTTAGGCGCAACGTTTAAACAGAAGAGGAAATTGATGGAGTTAATGAAATTGTCTAAATTTGGTTTGCTTTCCGAAGATGGTAATACAGAATGTGGTGAATGTGATAGCAATGGTGATGGAGATGAAGAAGGATTCGGGTCGTGTTTGGGCTCCGATAATGGGGTTGGCATTCTCAGGAGGAAAATCGTGAGCGTTTTGGAATCGGGTGAGTTCTTGGATAAGAGGCCGTCCAAACTGTCAAATGATGATCTTTTGTGTTTGTTGTCTCTGTTTAATGAAGCTGGTATCTATTTTAGTGATCAAGAAAAGCCAAAGGGTGGTGTTTGTGCTGCTGCTTGTGAAGATTTGATGTAACATAGTAACACTCATGATTTTATTTTTTACTTTATAAAAATATCAACTGCAATCGAGTTGGTGTACTAGGAATCGTTTTAGTCCTTGTATGGTTTTGTATCTTATCCATTTTCTAGTTCTAATATAAAATTTGAGATTGGCTTGGATGAATAGTCACTACAAAGAAAATGACATTTCCAACGAAAAATTCTGCGGTAATATATTCCAACAGACCTCGAGACTTCCCTTCCCGCTTCGCTAAGGAAGCTCTTCCTTCTTCAAGTCTTCCCCGCCTACGAAAAGGAAAGTAGCTCGATTGGCAAAGAGCGGTGAATTACATCTTTGGAATATTTAATGGTAATAGCCTCTGTTGGAATGTTCCAACAGAAATTCCAACGAAAATATTTCGTTGGAATGTATTTTTCGTTGGAATTATAGATGAAATTTGATGATTCCAACGGCTATATTTCTAACAGTTTTTTATCGTAGGAATTTTCGTTGGAATATGAAATTTCCACTGGAATTTTTATTTCTACAACCATTGCAATCGTCAAAATCCAATGGAAAGTTCATTCTAACGGAATATTTTTGTTGGAATTTCCATTGGAAAATTCCAACGAAAATAATAGCATTAAAAAATATCCATTAGAATTGTTGTTGGAATTATATTTAAATATGTTTCTGTTTTTTTTTTTTTTTTTTTTTTTTTTTTTTTTTTTTTTTTTTGTGTAGTTACGCTATGAAATAGTGACATGCATTATTATTATTATAATTGTTATTATTGTTAAAGAAAATGTTACAATTGTGTATTAAAAAGTTACAATTGTGTATTAAAAATTACAACTATTCATTATTGATGTTATTCCCCGGATACTAAGAGCATACTAAGAATATCCCAAATAGATAAAATATGCAAGAAATAAGACATCAAGATTTAACGTGAAAAACCTGCAAAATAGAGGAAAAAACCACGGGACAACCTCCGGACAATTCTACTATATTTTCAAGATAATTACAATATCTTTTCATACTATTTTACACTAGAAATATAGAATATAGTGCACCAGTGAGACCCCACTCCTAAACAAGGAGTAATATAGTTGATACCCAACTCGGTGTATTTTTCCCACACTCGCAGAATTTACTCAAACACTCTATTTTTATCTAATTGAAAAATAACATACAGAAATATTATTTCTGCTCTCTCTCTCTTTCTCTCTTTTTTCTTATTCCTTGGTGCGCTCTTTCCTCTGTTCGTGGCTCTCTATTTATAGATGGAAAGATGCTGCAATTGGTACAAAAACCAACAACTTTGGCTTTAATAATGGCCATTAGGTGAGCTGCCAACTAAAGTTTGACTCTTATTCTTTTGTTTTCTTTTGTTTCTTCACGTTATTTTGGGTTGAAAATCCATGTGACTGGACCCCACAGACATTTCCAACGAAAATTCCTGCGCTAATATATTCCAATGGACCTCGAGACTTTCCTTCCCGCTTCGCTAAGGAAGCTTTTCCTTCTTCAAGTCATCCCCGCCTACGAAAAGGGAAGTAGCTCGATTGGCAAAGAAAGATGAATTAAATCTTTGGAATATTCAATGTATAGCTTCCGTTAGAATGTTGCAACAGAAATTCCAACGTTATTTTCGTTAGAATATATTTTTCGTTGGAATTATAGATGAAATTTGATGATTCAAACGGCTATATTTCCATCAGCTTTTTATCGTAGGAATCTCCGTTGAAATATGAAATTTCCACTGGAATTTTTATTTCCACCATTGTTGCAATCGTCAAAATCCAATGGAAATTCCAATGGAAAGTTCATTCTAACAGAATATTTTTGTTGAAATTTCCATTGGAATCCATTGGAAAATTTCAACGAAAATAATAGCATTAAACAATATCATTAGAATTGTTGTTGGAATTCTATTTAAATATGTTTCCGTTTTTTTTTTGTAGTTAGGCTATGAAATAGTGGCATGCATTGTTCTTATCATTTTTATCATCATCATCATCATCATCATTATTATTATTATTATTATTATTATTATTATTATTATTATTATTATTATTATTATTATTATTATTATTATTATTATTATTATTATTATGTTACAATTGTGTATTAAAAATTACAACTATTCATTATCGATGTTATTCCCCGGATAGCAGGTCGGCTATGACTTACCCGATGGACCACGCTTTGACTGCTGGTATACGAACCTACTCTTGTTATCGCTGGGTTGAATATAGGGTTTATGCAAAATTCGACCAACATTGAAAAAAAAAAATGAAAAAAATAAATTGATCAAAATTAAAACTTCGGTTTGGATCACACAACTCGATTTAGTGAAGGCTGGTGATTTATTTAAGGGAATAAGGCACACTACTCGTGTGGTTGTGACTCTTAAGTCACACGTGTCGTGGTATAAAGAGACTTTTTTGGCGATGAATCATGAAAAGGGCCTAAGGACTCGATTTTGAGGATTTTGGACACTTTTGTAGGCCGGGTTGAAACACAACACACAAGGCGAATTTGAATAGGTCAAGATTGAAGATCGAAAACTACACGACTACAATAGTTATTATCTATTTTCTCATTTTCTTCTTCATCCAACTCATGTATTTTCTATTTTGAGAATTTAGAACTTGTGTAGTAGCCAAAGTGATGTAGGGGAAAGCGTACGAATGGGAAGGATAAAACGAGTAAACGAGATACTCTCTCGTAAAACACGTAAAAGAGATACTCTCTCTTGATAATACGCAAAAACAGATTTTTTATTTCATATTCAACTGCCTAATAACAAAGCATAAGACCCTTTAAATAAAACCCCTAAATTAAACCCTAGCTTATTCTTCAAGCTACTAATTATTAAATAATATAATTGAAATAATAATAATAATAATAATAATAATAATAATAATTCTATTATTCTGCATCATTCTCCCCCGGTTGAACAGGATTTAGCCTCGAATCCGACCCGTTCTCGTTGGAGTCGTCCCCATGACAAGAATACTCCCGAAAGGAAGTGATGCCGTCGGGACGATCGCGATGCCGCCGGGACGACAAGATGCCGCATACAAAGGAAGTGATGCAACCTTCAACGATCGGTTTCAACAGATCGACTACCGATTTGAACAGTTGGATGTGCGTTTCACAAATTTGTTTGCCGATCTTTCGACGGGGATCGAGGATGTGTGTTTGAAGCCGACCAACTTGGTTGTTACGGAATGGCAGACGGACCGTGATGGAGGCCGTGACTATCGCGGGGGATACAGAGGCGGTCGTGAGGGAAGCAACCATGTCGGGGCGCCCCGGCAGCGATCCCAGCCACCTCTGAACGGCAACGGCGTTCGCGACTCTAGCGGGTCGGCTAACCCGTTTACAGATCGACCACCATGGCAAGGAGTCGACACCCTCGGTCAGTCCCGAGTTCGCGAGCAACAACGGGTTGGAGGTTGTTTCGGACATGGTGGCGAGCGCGACGACGAGGAAACCCTTGGGGCTGTACGATTTCGCAGTCAACAACAACCAGCGGAGGATTTTGATTACCAATTGCAGCTCACTCACTCAGCCCGAGGTGGCGATTTGCAGAGAAGTGCTTCAGGTTTAAGCCCCAATCGTGAATTTCGCATCAAACCACGGCCAGAGGATTGTTTTGTTTACCTTTTTCACCCAGTCACGCAACCCTAGACGACAATTTCCGGCGAATTGCTGCGGGCAGAGGGTCGGACGGTGATTTCCGTCGGGCTATTGACGGCGCGAGGAGCACGCGACAGTGGCCGCAAGAGGGGCGTCGCACCGCTGTTGACGGCGGCGACTTCCTTGCCCTCGAGCCGCGCTGGGGCGATGAGGGTTTTGCAACAGCCGGAGGGCGCGATTTGAGGCGAAAGGCGGCCGATTTTGGAGACGGCGGGGGCCACAAAGTTCTGTGGAGCCAACCCTGGCCGCGAAGCTCGACGGTGGTTTTTGTTGGTTCTGGTTTTCACGACCGGCGGAGAGATGCTGCGGGGTTCGCAGGTGACGGCGGCCGAGATGGGCGGCGCGCCAGCGAGAACGCGGCGAAATACGAAGGTCCTCCCTATTTCGGATTTCACCGAGGAGTTGCAGATGGGCAATGCCTGAATTATCGATGTGCTGGGCAAGAAGATCTCAAGGAGAGAGAGGGCTGTTATGGCGATTTGTGCGTTGCGCAGAGACACAAAAGAAATTGGGATTCTTTTCATAGTTTTGGGCCTGCGCATGGACGGCCCAACTCCATTTATTTTGACCAAGGCATGAATGGAATTTTTCCTTCTTTTTGGGCCTGTGTATTAGCTGCGAAACTTGGGCTTCTGCAGATGGATTTTGGACTCGAATTTGGTCAATGGTTGAGCCCGTTTCGTGCTGACATCACAACAGTTAAGTTCTTGACCGAAATTACGTTCGAGGTTGTTGGAAGACCTTCAACATTCGTGTTTGATCGAGGGAAATGTCGGGGCTACTCCCACGGGATCGTGTCGGATTCGA